TGTAATGCATATACAATGGTTATTACTTAAAAATTCATTAAAATGAGTAGTGTATTAATATCACTATAGATGGGTGTCCCTTGTCACCCCTGATCTTTGCCTTATCCTTAGATCAAGCCATCCAGGACTTCAAAGTTGGGCAGAGGGGGAGAGACTGTAAACTACAAGGTAAGCCTATGACAAGTGCAATGCCTTACTGCTATATCTCTCTGCACAGGGCATGGGACATATTTATTCAGCTTATTGCTTATTGCTTACACTTAACTATTAGATGTGTTTTGGGTTTCTCACAGCGGAAACAATAGATTTTCCCGATTCCAGTAATTAAAGCTTCATTTTGGCAGAACTAATGTAAAACATTAAGACCTGTGTTGCATAATATATTTCCTGGTTTGTAAGAATACACACTGTAAATATGAATATTTTGCCCAGGATCCTGTTCCTCCTCTTCCTTGCATTATCAGTAGTGGTATCTAAAAAAATATTTATGCTGCTTGCAGGCTACAAATGTAAATGTTATTTGGAACCAAAAATGTCATAGAGTAACTAGGAGTCTACTGTATAGATCCAAAAGTTCCATAGGTTTACTTAATCTAATATTGCTATTGTAATATAGTCACCCAATTAGCTCAGATTGTGATGTAGCATACTAGTCCAGGAGAGCATGGATGGTTCAGTTTGGAATCTCTTCTACTAGGATCAGACTTGCCCCAATTTTGAAGCTACTGCACTACTCCCTGACTCTTTTCAAAAATCTTTGTAAGGGTGGTACCTCTCAAAAGAGGTTGATAACACGGTTTCCTTGATATTTAGTTCTAGAACGTGATTGTTAGAACCATTTCCATATATTCAACAATGGGATTCTGACCTTCTGCTGAAATTCAAGAGGGTGGGACCTGGGAAAATCTATGAGGCAGGATTATACAATTTCCATATGTGAAACACTCCAAGAACAGTATATAATAAAAATATGTTTCACGGGTATACCCCGCCTATAAAATTACACCAAATGGGTAAAATCCCCTCTGACAGTTGTTGGTTGATGTGTGGAGATCATGGCACCTATATCCACATGTTGTGGACTTATCCAAATATTGTCCTGTTCTGGCACAACATAAAGCAGTAACTTTCTGCGGTTTTTGTTTCTCTTTTCAACATAGATACATGGAAATTTGTGCTTCAACACCCAGCTCATGGTTTGCAAAACCATAATCGCAGTCATAATATAATGTTTGGTACCCATAGGATACATTTAATTATCTTATCTGTCCTTGCTCCTACTTCCTCCCTCTTTTCTTCTTATATTCATAGATATCTCATATATTCTTATATATCATATTTGATTTTCTACCCCTTTCTTTCTGGGGGGAGAGAGGGCTTCAAACATTTCCAAATTGCAAAATGGTGAGCCAAAGCTCTGTTATTGCAGCATTGCATTTTGCTAACTTGAAAATAATAAAATTAAAAAATATATGAGTAGTAAAATGAACATCTTTAAGAGCTGTTTTAAAGGATAATGGCAGTATGTGAAAATAACAGTCTATGTATGGTACTTTGTCTCAGATAGGGTTGTTAAATCGTTACTTAATTCACAGATGCCTGTTCAAAGTTAAAAGTTAAATACATACTCCTGGCCTGTATGTTAACCAATACAACACTAAATATTCCATAGGCATCCCTAATTAAAATACCCACCTGTTCTTTCAACTAAGCAATTATGTCAACTTGACCTCGTGCTAAAGGGTGTCAGCCTATCCACTACAAAAAAAACTAAAACATTTTAATTGGTGAAAAGCAACATTTTATTGGTCAAATTTGCATTTATTCTCTAACCTATATATTTTAAGTGTGAAGCATATGTTAAAACCATTATATGCATTTTAATAGGATTGTGTATATATATATATATATATAAATATATATATGTCTATGTCCATGACTCACTGCAACATTAACACAAATCTGCAGTAAATAAATTAAGTAAATGTTACAATAAATTTATCGTTTGTGAAGTGTGTGAATAATTAACATCTCCAAGGTCCTATTTGTTTCAAATCACTGCCCATTAGTTTAATTCTCACTAAGCTAAGTTATAAACACTTTAACTGCAGTAATCCTATGGGGCATTCTATTGCTTAAGAGAAAATGAGAAATCTTTTAAATAATGCAGCCTCTATTGGATTTATACTCTGCAGTGGATACACCCTATTTACATTTCTCATAACTTATAAATCATGTAAAGAAATACCATTAAGGCTTTAAGATGTTAACAAGCTATTTTGTTTCACTGGAAAAAGAAACCCAATTCATATGATCTAATTAATGAGTTGGCTGGTGGTTATATATAAGAACATAATATTAGTAGTGATAATAGTCTATGCAATTGCTTTTTCTTATAAAATACTACAGTATATTAATATAAATTTAAATTTATGAGTCATCAAATTATTTTGATTAACCACTTTCAGTTTTATTCACTAAACATCAGATTTTGTCTGGATGGATAAAACCAGTGAAATTGCAGAGTTTCAACCGGCATGACAATCCCGATATTTACTGAAGCCTAACCATGTTAGAATTCCAGTCAGAATTCAGTCAACCTGACCAAATATGCAGCAATCGTCCGGCTGCAGTCAGTGTCTGGTTTAAAATCACTCCTTTTCACATCTGTCCATAGAACATCGTTTATCACAGCTATGTGGCTCTCAACTACCCCTACATTTGGTACTGTTCACAGAACCTATATAAATGAAGACCAACACTGATTATTTTTGAAGTGTAAAAAACAAACAAACAGCAAGAGAAAAAACAGGGTGCAAGAGAATGCTGAGAACCGACAACAGCTCAAATAGCCTGCCCTTTGGTTAGACCCTGCTCAGATCTCAAGCTGGTTTTAGATCATCTTGTGCCATTACAAAAAGAACAAGGTATGTGATGTCTGCTTGCTGGGATAGCTCCATATTTTGGTTTCCATGACAATACCACATCATAAACCAAATTAAAGAGTTATCTACTACACATCTGAAAGATTAAAATTAACAAAAGCCTTTTTCTTAATTTTGGTCTTTCAATAGCCTCCTAACTTGGTTTCCTTATATGGGATTGCCAATATTTAAGAATACCAAATTATGTAGCTGTTTATCAGACAGCTCCCTAGTTTGGTACCCTTATGTGGGATTGCCATATTTAAGGATACCAAATAAGGAAGCTATCACATAAAGGAGCAATCTACTAAACATAACAGCTCCCTAATTTGGAACCCTTAAGTAATAAACAAATCGCACATGGAAGAACTTTGTTCATCCAGCAATTAGTCAATTCTCCATTGTGCCATTCTGAGATGTGGAATTCGGACGAATTAACTGATTTGCTTTTGAACTGTTATTCTACCTGAAATAAATAACAAGTTGAGTGTGCAGACCACATGCTTCTATTTTGGACCCTGTATTCCATGAGCAGCCTTGATGTTGGCCTGTTGGCTAAATGTTTCAAAATACTGCTTGCATGGCTCCTGGAACTGTTTGTACCAGGCGTCAGGCGATGGGAATTCACTATTCCTGTAGTGTATCTGTGTAAAGTAGTGTGGTCAGCAATATGAGAAGCAGTATATGTACAGTCTGCGTAGCAATATGTGTAGCTGTGTGTGTATATGTGTGTACCTATCATTTCTTAAATGGCCATTCTGCCCCCAGCCCTCTACCATATCTGGCAGTACCAGGGGCGGGCTGGGCCGGGGGGCAGGGAGGCAATTGCCCCCCAGGCCGCCCTAAATTCCTGTAAGGCCGGCCGCGGCGGGCCGGCCCTTTAAATACTGCAGCCGCCTGAGCGCTCTGTTAAGAGCCTCAGGCGGCTGCAGCTTCTCCCCTCCCCTGTAGCGTGGCCGAGCTGCACTCCGGTCCGCGGTGGCCGGCCAGCCGGCCGGAGTGATAGGAGGGTGCACACTGAGTGTGCACTTCCTGTCAGTCCGGCCGGTTACAGGAAACAGAAACTCCTGTTCCGCGCGGAGTTTCTGTTTCCTGTTACCGACCGGACTGACAGGAAGTGCACACTGAGTGTGCACCTTCCTATCACTCCGGCCGGCCGGCCACCGTGGACCAGAGTGCAGCTCGGCCACGCTACAGGGGAGGGGGTAAGAAGAGGGGAGGGAGGGGAATAAGAAGAGGGGGGAATAAGAAGGGGGGAATAAGAAGAGGGGAGGGGGGAATAAGAAGAGGGGAGGGGGAATAAGAAGAGGGGAGGGGGGAGTAAGAAGAGGGGAGGGGGAGTAAGAAGGAGGGGAGATAAGAAAAAGAGGGGGGTAAGAAGAAGAAGGGGTGAGTAAGAAAAAGATGGGGGAGTAAGAAGAAGAAGAGGAGGGAGTAAGAAGAAGAGGAGGGAGGAAGAAAAAGAGGGGGGAGGAAGAAGAAGAAGAAGAGGGGGGAGGAAGAAGAGGGAGAGGGGGAACAAGAAAAGGGGAGAGCAGAGCAAGAGGGAGAGGGGAATAAGAAGGAGGGGAGGGCGGAGTAAGAAGGAGGGGAGATAAGAAAGAGGGGGGTAAGAAGAAGAAGAAGGGGTGAGTAAGAAAAAGAGTGGGGAGTAAGAAGAAGAAGAGTGGGGAGTAAGAAGAAGAAGAGGGGGTAAGAAGAAGGGTGAGTATGAAGAAATGGGGGGAGTAAGAAGAAGAAGGGGGAGGAAGAGGAAGAAGAAGAAGGGGGGGTAAGAAGAAGAAGGGGGAGCAATAAGAAGAAGGGGGTTAAGAAGAACAGGTGGGGGAGTAAGACGACCAAGGGGGGAAGTATGAAGAACACAGGGAGGAGGGGGGTAAGACGAACACAGGGGGTGTGAGGAGAACACATAGAGGGAGGAGTGAGAAGAGCACAGGGAGGGTGGGTGAGTGTGAGAAGAGACCGCTAGGGGAGGGTGGGGGAGAGGAGAGACCACTAAGGTGCAGGGGAGAGCTCTACGGGACAGAAGGGGCAGCTCTATAGGACAGGGGCCAAGACAGGGAGCTCTTTCACACTACGCGCGCACACACACACAATGCATCCCTATACATACACAGAAACACAACATGCTTCCCTTACACACAGAGAAACACACAATGCATCCATTACACACACACACACAAAGACAATGCATCCTTTGCACACATACACAGAAACAGACAATGCAAACCCGTACACACATATGCAAACACACACACTTCTTTTCTTACATACACACAGAAACACAATGCATCTCTTACACTCAATGCACACACATACAGACACACACCTTGCATCCCTTATGCATACAAACACAGATTCACACAATGCATCCCTTACACACAACCAGAAACACATAATACATCCCTTATACACAAATACACACTGCTTCCACTACACACAAACACACTACATCACCTGCACAAACTGGTAACCCTATACACTACATACCATAAGCACACATATTAGATCCTCTACAATAACACATAACACATCCCCTACACACTCCACTCCCTGTGAGCGAACTCATGGGTGGGTGGAACTTATGAGTGGGCCTTATGGGCATACTCACCGTCAGGCCCTGGGGCCCAGACCTTGAGCTGTGTAAGGGGCCCCAAAAAATGGAGCTGCTTCCAATTCTCCCAGAACATTGAATTTTGTGACCACAGCTGCAAACAGCCTCCAGAGATCCTGTTCTACACCAGACCAGTGGAGCCAAACTGCAGCCCATCATCATCCTCATCTGCTTGTAAGTAGGCAATCTAGTATATTATTAGTGACACTAATCTATAATGTACCTCACATTAAAGGGACACTATAGCTTAATGAAGTGGTTCTGGTGTCTATAGCTGGTCCCTGCAGGCTTTTTAATGTAAACACACACTGTGTGCAGCACTGGCGTTAGTTCATATGGGTGGGGCATTGTGATGTCACATGGGGGGGCAGCAAATTTTTATTTTGTCTAGGGCGGCAAAAATCCTTGCACCGGCACTGATCCTGGGCAGGTGCACCAGTCTACTGGTGACCCACAGGAGGGGAGTGCACTGATTGCACTGCACTCTCCTCCTGTCCAGCCCCATCTTTACCGCAGTGCAAGTGCCCTCTGCCCCTAATTTACAGTGGCTCACACTCACAACAAGCAGTGCCTGGAGCCGTGAAGGAGCGGGTATGGCAAAGAGCTACTGATTAGCATAACATCAATATCCGTTATAAAACCAGGAAAAGGTGGGCATGGATGGTGAACTGATTTGGTGGTGCAATGGGCCACTTGACTGGTTTTGCCCCCCAGGCCTAAGGCTGCCAGCCCTCCCCTGGGCAGGACCCCCCCTTAGGAAGTATGGCGTTCAGTCTGAGGGGTTGGAGCCATGCACAAATCAATCTTCCTCAGACTGAATACAATGACCTCAAAGTCCAGTAAACAGCAGACACCAGTCCTACCACAGGGAAGAGACTTTTAACATGCTCCTACTCTGCCTAATGGGAAATCTGCCAATTGCCTCACAGTTCTCTCAAGCTGACTCACCTGATTTGCAATGCTGCATGCTTATGCATAATACAATATTCAAAGGAGACCATATCGAGTCTTGACTAGCTCCAGAACAAAACATATTTTTTTCATAATGTAGGAAAATCTGACATCACAAATACATGACACAACTGCATTGTTCAAGTTTGGATTTTTGGATGACTAAATATTCCCAGAACACTCATACAAGCATAAACAAATTTATATCTGCCTTCATTCTCTAATGGTATAGGAATTCTTCATACGTTTTATCCTTCTTCTCCCCTCCTCCCCTTTTCCCATTATTTTTGCTCCTTTTAGAAACACAATCACCCAGATTAGATAAAATTACATTATAGAAATTGTTTGAATGCACAATCAAAGTAGAAGAAAAAATAATGATCAAAAAATTAATCGATAACATTAGGCTACTTCAACATTGTTCGGCTTCTTCTGTTTACATGTACACATGTTTACCGAATTATTACACTGAAGCGTGTCAGGTTCAAAGTTGACTCAAACGTTACGCTGTACCTAGAATCACTATATAACAAAAATGTGCCAAATTTACTCATGCTACACCAATGTTTTATTCTGTTGTATATTAATGCGCCTGTCATTGCTGTTGTGCCAATGCAGGCACTGATGTACTTACATGCACGACAAAAAAATAAATAAAAAAATAGTGTATTTGTTACTTTGATTCATGAGGAATGCATTATGTTGGCTAGGTCAGGTAATATAGAAGTTTTCATTAGTAGAAACGTATGTGGTATTAGCGCAAGTTTAACTTTATATGCTAGCCCAGGTCATACTGCTGCTAATTTCAAGAATCATCTAGAACACTAATAGTATTTTTTCCAAATTATTTGTATTAAAGTGTAGCCCTGTGAAAAGTAAGTTATTATAAAGGAAAACAACTATATCTCCCAGACATGATGGAAGTTCATGATTTCACATCTTCAGTAGAAAGTGATGCATATTAAAATAAATATCATCATAACATTTACAAAAACCTCATAACATATCAAATACACAAAGAGGGACATTTTAATTTTAAGTGTGGGGTGTGACCATTAGGATAGAAAGGATGGACACCAAAGGGACTGTAAATCGTAAATTAAAACGCTTGGGATGTATGTTTATGGGATAAACAGCTTGTATATAAATTTAGGATAAAACAACAATATGTGACTAGATTACTTTTCAAATATACAAAATAAATAAATGAAATTCACAGTTTACATAATGTTTTTATTTGTTCCTTCGCCATCTACAAAAATATCGACGGCTTGAACAGTTCTAGATACCATACAGAATGCCTTGTGTTTAATTATTAATTATTATTATTATTATTATTGTTATTATGGCTATTTGTAACAACCAATGGCAATGTTGGCAATGGAACTTCCTTAAAATGAATGTAAAAATGTAAGATAATAAAAATAGGACTATATTTTCTCATATGACCTATATAAAGTAGGAAAATAAATTAAATCAGCTACATGTCAAATATATGTATTTGAAAAGTGATATAACAAGTTATTTGTGTTATTCCAGATCCCTTCAAAACTCCCGCTCCCTGACTGTTAAAATGTAAAAATAAAGATTCGTTCCTTGAAGTTTTCTTTATTCTGTGTGTGTGTGTGGCCAAAGGTCTGGGAAGTCTGTTTGTACCCTGTGACAAACTAAACCTTGTCACGGGTGCTTGGAAGGGCCTATTGGCCAGCCTCTTACCAAAAGACTATGGGCCCATTAAAAAACTATGTGAACAGACTTGGTTTATGGGATTTTATATTTGGTTCGGAAACTGAACAGCCGCACAAACCGGAGACCACCCTGGAGCTTGTTAAGCCTAATTGCTACTTTGTATTCATCTGGGTGGCTGCATTTCCTATGAAAACACGCAGCGGTCAAGTTCATGGATCTATTTTCGAACACTAAAACTCCCGAACACCGCTAGACTTCCATGATTGCCTGTGTTCGGTTTTATAGCACTTAGGAAGACACTGTTCGGTGGAAACTTTCCCACGAACAAAGGGAATAAGCTCCAGGGTAAGACTATTGACTATGTTCGGTAGTTTGTTAATTTTTAAACTACCGAACTAGACCGACCGCAATCCCTGATTCTCTGGAACTGTTTTGGGCATGGGATCATGCGTGTGGTCGGTCAAATTATGACTTCCAGTAAATTCCTGAACCCCTGAACTGATCAGGATGATTTTTTGATATGTTGGTCACCCAGATCGGGGATATAAGGGGATGTTACTTTTGTGGGGTTTTTGTGTGTTTAAAGGTATTTTGGGGGTTTTGTAAAAATTTAAATTTTCTGTGCCTGGAGATAATTGAGTTTAATACAGTTTGGACTCAATTATCTCCCAGGCACAGGGGAGGGATTGACCTATTTTGTATGGGAGTGTCCTGGACCTGAGAGTCAATGTAATTGTGTGTATGTTTTTACTTTATTCTACTCTCAGGTCCAGAGGGGAGTGCCCCTTGCATAGGGACCTGCATGTAAGGCCAGTTGTGGCTGCCAATAAAGAGATTTGTTTTACCCTTCATGAAGTCTAGGCTCATGTTTGGGGAATTGGAGAGCTATATTCACTCTGGGGATTGCTATAGGAAAACCCAGGATTTCAAAATGCAGGAAGGACCTGGGCAGTAGAATCATGCACAGAAAGTTTCAACAATGCTCCATCTTTCAACTTGGCCACCAACTTTAGACTCTGTCCTGCCCCTCTGATAGAGGGACCCGCCTCTTTGTCAAACATGCTTACACTTTTGCCTTAATATGTGAATATATATGGCTACCCTCTGCACAGTGGTCTGTGCAGCCTGATTTCTTCAGGCTGCACAGACCAAGGCAGGAAAGGCAGAAATAACATTATTCCTAACCTAATTATTTTGGATTATGCACAGAGGCAACAAATCCACACTTACCTATAAGGTACCACCACAACTAGCAGGCCCTGTTACTCAAAGAAAGGAATGTGGTTTCTACTGAAGAAGCCAGGCATGTAATAATGTTTACATCATTTGCAAGTGTATGTGACTACTAAAATGTTTATTTGGCATTATGTATACCAAAAATACAATCACTATGAGTTTCAGTGACATATCAACAGAGGTGTTTGTCTACTAATCGATCACATGACTTCATTGGGCTGATACCTGCACATCTTTTATTGTTTTTTTCTACTGAAAAGTCATGCAAGGAAAAAAGTAACATATCTAACCATTCCACTAGCTATACCACCTGGGATTGCATCAAAAAGAAAAGGATCACTGCAAGTGATAATACAACAGAGTTCCACAAATAGTCCATCAGACTAGAACCTTAAATAAACTAGGCAACAGAACTACTTCTCTTTGAAGTGGTTGTGATGGCTGATGTGCTCTGGCGCTTCATTCACTATTCACATTTAATGGTATTCAGTCACTTGTGGCACCTCCACACTGCTTCTGTTCCAGTTAACAGTTCCTTATTAACCAGCAGTGATAGACTATATGTGTGTATATATATATATATATATATATATATATATATAGTTTGTTTATTGTATTTTTTGTAATATTGTATCATATTGTAACAATGCAATGTTTTGTGGACCCAAGGACATACTTGAAAACGAGAGAAATCTCAATGTATCCATCCTGGTAATATATTTTAATATTTTATAAATAAATTATATGCGCACTCTCAGTCTTTTTACTGCCACACACTTTTCTCACAGAATGGC